AGAGAGAGAGAGAGAGAGAGAACAATAATAACAACGATGACGACAGCAACATCAGGAGCTAGAGCAGCAGCAACAGCAGCAACAGCAACATCATCAATATGAAGAAAGAAGGAGGGAGACAACAACAATAACAATTATAAGCAGCAATAACAATATTAAAAAGGCCTGTCTGCACTCCGCAGGTAGACCTACTAAATCTAGATCTTAGGTCATATAAGTGCCGAAGAATAGATTATGTATTACAAGAGAGTAACATACACAAAAAAGAAGGAGGAAAGATAAGGATGACAGAAGTTTGATAGGAAAGAAGGAGCAAGCCACACCAGAGCACCCGCCAACCACCCACGGATATGATCCAGATTAATTAGGAGGTAGACCAAAAACTCAATGCACAACATAATTCAGACGACAGTAACACTAAAGAGAAGACTGCAGCAGAGCTCCTGCCCACCACCCACTTTCTCACCTGGTGACAGAATCGGGCTGAAAATATCGACCGTCTAGGACCATCGCTGACTGGACATCCAGCGAGAAAGGTTCCAGAGAGGACAGACACTGCAGCGGAGAATTCATGAAGCAGGAGTTGCCTAGGTTCTCAAAGCTGAAACACAGAAGATTTTTAAAAAATATTAAGCGTTTTATGCCCCAGCCCCCATCAACACAATTTAGATTATGTAGGCGACAAGCTGCTCTGATTTTGCCTGTCAGGTCTAACCCTGGCTGAGTGGGATACAGAATCCCGGCCCACGAACAGACAATATAAAAACTTCCCCGAGTGGGCATCAAACTCATATTTTCCGAGTGAAACTAATATATAAAAAAAGGCAAAACATTACAACGCAAACTTCAGGGTACAAGATTTTAAAAAGTAGATTTCTAAATATTTATATCGAAGGACTTCCGTTTAGTAAGAGTTTTACAGCACTCACAACACTATACGGTCATATAAGTGTCAAAGACTGGATGTGTTACAAGAGAATAACAAACATAAACAAGGAGAGATTAAAACAATAGGTGTTTGATAGGAAAGAAGAAGCAGCAAACCACACCAGACCACCAACCAACCACCCACTTCCGTAACGAGTGACCACCCCCAACAAACAATAAAGAAGAGATCTAACCCTAACCCTGACCCAACCCCTAACCCTACCCTCTATTCCACTCTGCTTTATAGTGGTCACTCGTTATGGAATTTCTCTCGATTATATTGTGAGTTGTTTGAACCCAGTCTGTCTAGAAATACCGCATATTTTTTTAAGATAGCTACTACATGAACTCTTTGGCATCTCATACAATGACCACATCACAAATGAAGTGCGCAGTAGAGTGAAACAACACATGAGCCACTATTTAGACTTGCTGTCTACTGTGAGGTGAAGAAAAATTAATTGGAATGGTCGTGTAACAAGATAGTGTGGCCTATCCAAGACCATTTATCAGGGAACTGTGCAGGGAAGGGGAAAGAGAGGAAGGCAAAGAAAGAGGTGGATCGACAACATTGAGGAGCGGACAGGAAAATCCTTCACCAAGAAATGTGAAAAGTGGAGGCACCTGACGAGGCTCTCAATATCATACAGCGCCCCTACGATCCTCGTGGATTATGGGATCAGTGACACTCATTAACCACCCACATATAACCATTTAGAACTGAAAAAAAGCAATACAAATACAAATAAGTGGCAGACTCCAACAAGAAGGTCATGTAAGTGCGGAAGAATAGAGGTGTTACAAGAGAGTAACATACACAAAAAAGGAGAGATAAGGACGACAGGTGTTTGATAGGAAATCTCCAATCAGTCCTGAAGCACACTAGTGAAAATTTTTTTTCATGGAGGAGTTCCGCAGTGGGCTGCACTTACCGTGACAAGGTCCACTGAGCAAACTATCTACAAGAGTTGATAAACTTATAGCATCCTATTGATGACTTACAGTTCGGTATATTTGACGACTAGGGGAGCTATCTTTTTAGAGAAAAGCACATTGGACAGCTCCAGTCGAGGACAAATTCAAGTCGTGTGGAATCCACCATTATCTTTTTCCATGGACTATTGAGAATATCGGATTTTCGTTGTGGATGGAGAGAGGGAGGTGCAGGGGGTGCAAAAGCAATAAAATGCCAACAAAGGGGGTGTTGTTGGTGGGCCGGCCCTCTGCGGAACTTCCTTTTTTTAATATCCAACTATAAAGTCTCACATATATACGGCATCCCTTAAAAATTCCCCTCAAGTCAGACTTACCCAACAGTGGAACTCTGCCCATAAGACCAGTTCTCGTCCATTGCTGGAAGTTTTAAGCTCACCACACCATCATCAGATCCGCTACAAATATCCACCGGACATTCATCTGCTGCTGCACTGCCATCCTCGCCTTCATTAATGTTATCATTTTCATCAATGGGTGGGGGCTCCATGTTGACTGCCATGCTATGTGACCTTAGACTCTCGCCTGTCAGCCACTTCGCTCGCTGGGACAGAGTTGGCTTTGCCGTCAGTGGGGAAGCCTGGATTTTCACAGACCTATTGGAAGTATCTCTGGAAATGTTTGATCCCCTGAAACGAAGGCGCAGGTACAAAAACAATGCAATGATGTGGACAAAAAAATTCATAAATGGGTACTCCATATTGCAAAACAACAAAACACTGCAAAAAAAATACAACACAGGTAGATTCTAGAATTGTAACCAGCCTAGATTGAAATTTAACACATTTTTAAATTGTCTGATTTTAAAATGCACATTGTGAGGTAGACACCAGCAACAAGAAAAGTTACTGATACTTACATGGAAGGCCTGATCTGCTCTGACATTGGCTAACCACAGAAAAACCAGACAGAAGGAATAAGAAAGTGAGTAAAAAGAGGAAAACAAAGGCTATCACTCAAGTCTATTGTGGGGCTGAGAGTGTTCACTGACTTGTGCTCAAAACATTCCTGACAGTTCATGTCACCTCAACCAGTCTGTTTACATGTTGTTGTTTTTTGCTTTCACACTTTTTTCAGGAAATAAGGTTCCCTACCTCTGCTTTCTTCCCCCCCCCCCCCCTCCACCTCCACCCACCCTTTTCAATACCTCAAAAAGCAGTCTCCCTCCCCTCCCACCTTGTGTCTCAAACACAAGTGACACACAGCTGTCCTTAAATTCTTTTGGTTTTTTGGGTTGTTGTTTTTTAATTTGGAGGGTGGGAGGTTCATTCTTCACACACATCATCATAATCAATGCCTTTCACCCCAGGCAGGATAAAGGCCACACACAAGGCTTTGCTTGCATGTGTTTCTTTAACAGGTTTTTTTTATGAGAGAGGTTGTTAGCCTCATGACTCAACCCCCAACCGGGAGGATGACTCTGTTTCGGGAGTCACTACCTGGTTCGTCATTTAGTCACCTCGTACGACACGCTAGCCCCACGGCAGTCCTATTCTTCTCAATGCCGGGACTGCACGGCTATTCACACACATAACTTTTAAACACAAGAATTCAAAGCGTAAAATTAAAATTAAAAAATCAGTAACTAAACTTGGAGCCATAAAAACCTCTCTATTTCAATCGGCAACATACAATTTCTTCGCTTTCAATTTCCATGCTTGCTTTAGCATTGCAACTTGATTAGTACGGGCACAGACTTCTAAGAATAGTGATGAAGACAGAAAGAAAGGGGCAGGCAACAGACACATACTCTTCTGAACTTTATAGAGATTCATATTTCATTTTTCATTTTTATTAAAAATCATTTCTTATTTCCACTTCATTAAAATTAATATTCCCACCAATTCGTATTCATACTTCATTCATATTCATTTTATTTTTACCCCCACTTCATTCCTATTTGTGTACCTCAGCCATATTCCACACTCGTAAGAAAAGGAGCGGACTACGTTAAACAATAGTGGTTCATCTAAGAACATAACACTGGCATGAGTCTTGACCACTTACCTGTTGCTTTTGTCCAACAAGAAGGGAGATGGAGTCTTGGATCCATAGAAATTTTTGGCACTTAAGCTATGAAGGCCTGGATTGCTCTTGGTATACCTGACAATATGAGAGCAAAAGGCTGAAGTATGCTTGGGTACAACAAGTCTAATACACAGCAATTTGGCAAGTACAAATAAGGAAATGTATGACAACATACGAAAGCTTTTGCGGAAACATTTTACGTCACTATGAATAAAATTAACAAAATATACAAGGCAGACCTGTCAGTTTTAGTAAAAAAAACAAAATAACGAACTGGTGAAATCTCAAACAATGTTTGCAGGATAATTTACTAAAAACTTACCTCAAACTTGAGTCTTTCATGCTGAGGAAGAAAATAAACACCAGAGAAGAGAATAAAAACTATCATATTATGATTATCAATATATTAAATTACAATAATACCTTCATTGAAATATAAACAAGTATTTCACCGTCCCTATATCATCTCATCTCTCCCCCTTGAATGAAAACACAAAATCAAAAATGAAGTAAGGAAATCAAAGGAATAAAAGCCATCATGTCATTAACCTGTCCCCAAACCATAATTTAGACAAATTTGATAATTTTTTGCATAATTTCTGATTATTTTCCTTTATCATTCTTTGTTAAAACTAACAGAATCGCAGTTTCACATTTTTGGGCTCAGTTTGCATAATTTTAGAATTTTTCTTGCATAAAACGACGGGGACAGATTAACCCTAAACTGGCTTTCTCGTTATGTTGCCATACCGGCGGCTTTTACCAGCCTGACACACCAGTCTTTAATGCAGGCTTAGAAATAAAAACATTCCACTCTAAATTTAGAAGCTGACGCCCTAGGTCTTAGGATGTGAAATTTCATGGAAACACATCGCTTAGATCAAAAGCAAAAGCAATTATTTTGCAACACCACGTAATCCTCTGAAAAACACTGAAACAATTTATTTGTTCTGGGGAGCCATCAACAGGCCGCCATTTCGGTTCTGCTGTGTTGACCTGGTGACCTATTTATGGAGCTAAGAGGGCTAAAATAAAGGCTCTGTCAACTACTTTCCCCAGACTGACTGACTGATAGCCAGTCAGTCTTTCACTCCCCTCCCACTCAATTTAGATCATATAGGAGGCAAGCAAATTTGACCCAACTCTCAGGGTCAGCCTAAGCTGAGTGAGAAACAATTATATACCAGCAGATACTCAATAAAATAACTTGCCCATATAGGAATTTTTTACTTTTTTTTTTCCCCCTTGTTTCGGTAAGAGTTTTATGGCACTTGAAACACAAGTAGGTCATAATATTATAAATATAAGTGCAGAAGATTAGAGGTTTTACTGAAGAATAGCATGCAAAGAAAAGGAGGAGGAGAGATAAGGACGATGGACATTTGACAGGAAAGAAGGAGCAAACCACATTAGAGCACCCGCCAACCACCCACCCACATGAGAATACAACTCACGTTTATTGAAAGCGACAGCAAAGAGCCTAAACCATTAAACCACAGCCGACTTCAGTGTTTTGGAGAAGAACTATATTCTTGTTCAGGCAATTTTCTTACCTAGTAAATTGATGAGCAGAATGTGAAGCCATATTCGCGTCTGCGTACGTGTTACCACGTCCCCTGACTGACATTTTGGAGTCCGGGGAGGGAAGTAATTCCAGCCGTCTCTTCAACTTCAATGATGAATGCTGGGGGCGAGGACTAGGTGGGTCTGGTGGTCGCTTCTTGGTAAGTGAGCCAGATGAGGAATTTTGAGATCTGTCAAAGCAAACAAAAGAATACGGATGAAACCTCTCTGAAAAAAAAAAAAACCCTGTTCAACAAACCTAGAAGAGAGTACTACAAATCAGACTGCATTTCTCAGTTAAGCTTCTGATTGATTGACAAAAAAGAAGCACGACTTGACACAAAGGGGCATTTTATGTAGTTGAAAAGAAAGACATACAAGAATAACAACAATGGGGAGAGAAAAGAAGTGGAACCTACCAGTAGAGCCCTCCAGCCATCTGCATGCCTCTCATATTTTTTTCTTTACTACTAATAGTCCTGTTTTTAATTGTTTGTATGCTAACACTAGTCCTTACTCACAATACTCTCAATGTTCATTATGAAACATGTGTGTATCATCATTGTTTATGTAATGATAGTAATATATGTATGAATATCTGCTTTTTTGTTGTTGTTTATGTTATGTCTGCACATTCATGATCATGTATGTTATGTTAAGATTAAGTTTAAAAGTTACTGCAAAAAAGCCTTCAGCTGTATTGTGCAGGAGTCAGTGCTATAGAAATGATCCACATTATTCAGAGATCACAGTGAAATTTTTCCTCAACCCCTGAACTTTGACGATCGATCCAATAGACTTCCCTGAATATTGTTAACCCCCCTTTTCCCACATCAATTTTAAAAAGGCTAAACAAACCAAAATAAACAAACCAAAGATGGAAGTAGAGGAAAACGGTCAGTTCCAGTTCACCTCCAATCAAAGGAGAGCGCGTGTTTTCTTTACTGTTCATGACTTTCTTTTTCCCAAAACCGTCTCACTCTCATCTTGTCAACGATAGGCCGAGCTAAGCCGAATCCGCAGATCGCGGGGCGCCTTAGGGCCGTTCTCAGGCTACTCGAAGCCTACCGCAGCCCGACTTGAGGCCAAGGCGGAACGACCACAAAGCGGATTTTAGGAAGTTCTCGCAATTGCAGAAAATCGTGGATCCGCAGCAAACTGTGATCCCAGATTATTATTATTACTATTATTACTTGAATGCTCTACGAAAAACATGACAATCATTTCAAAGGCCAGTCTTGCCCCAGTAGTCTAAGGAAGAGAACAAGAAAGAAAGACGGTAGAAAATAAAAGACGATACACAATAGGATAGAATGTTAACAACCCTCTTGAGTACTTTTGTACTACTGTGATGTGTCAACATCAATGCATGCTACATGACAACAAATTTCAATTCGAAGACAGAAAAAAATGGCAGTTTTCTTTCCTCTACTATACACTCTTACAGCTCTACAAGTCAGTGCAAGAGTTTTCTTCATGAGTATAAGTTCTGCAGTGCACTATAATAATATAACTAAAGTGTGCATCTGCAAGTCCTTGGTGACACACTTTTCAGTTCCTCAACCATGAAGAGTTTGAATGCGTTGCCGACTTGCTAAAAGTCACAAATAAATAATCAAATAGATCAAACATACCGGACAAAGTTAGCTTGTCCGGGTGAAGTGATGAAGACATTAGAGTGCGACTTGTTCCAAGGACTGACATTTTCACTCCCCGATTCCTTCAAGCTTTGCATTGAGATGAAACCATTTGGTCTCCTCATTGCTTCTGCTTTAGAATTCTTTGGTGACTCTGAAACTGTACAGACAATTTAAAAAATATTAGGTGGGTAAACTCAAAACAAAAGATAAAATAACTTTTAAAAATCACAACATAAATTGTAACACTCTCACCTGCGCAGAACACAAACACACTACAAAACAGTAATCATCCAAACTAATTATTTAAGGTAAGTTAACTTATTTTTGCAATTAATTCAGCAACAAAAAAAAAGCAAATAGTAGCCATGCAAACTAGTGTGAATCAATCTTCTGAGCAGAAGGAAAGAAAACTTTCTTGAAACTGAAAAAAAAATGTTTTTCTCCTTGTAATAACAAACCCAATGCTTTCACATGGCAACAAGGGGGCCCCAGAGACTAAAATAAATGACAAAGAATCCCTCTCTCACGACTGAATGAAAATTCTTCTTTAATGAAGTCATTTTGCAGCATTTTCTTCTTACAAAGAGAAATTGTAAAGGTTGAAATTGCAATTGAGTTAAAGGGAAACAGACTAAAAATGGGACAAGAGTAGAGGGCAATAGCTGTTCGCTCTTCAATGGTAGGCAAGTTAAAAATTATTTTTATATCAGATCCCTGAATATTTGTGCTACTCTCCACATCAATAAGATATAAAAAAAGACGACTGGCTACAAAAATGTAAAACATTTTTGTTCAATACTGCATCCATTCTTGTCAACATCAATGCACAACAAGTTTCAGTCAGCCTTTGTGGTTACCTCGGTCTCTGATCTTGCGAATCAACTCTCTAGCATCCTCTGTATCTCTTCCTGATGTCAGCTTCACTTGTATGCCATTTCCTTTCTTATTTTCGATGATGAGCCGACTACATTTCACACTCATTTCACTGGAGTTGATCTGAGAGGGTGAAAATAAAGACACGGTAGACAATAAATTTGGGAGAAATCTTACTTGCTCTTATGAAACCAAAGCAAAGATTGTATTAATTATAAAGAAGACAATGGTATCTTCAACATGGTTAAGTTCATTCTATTCTAAGCAATAAAACTGACAATTTGTTTGGGGAATACATTTATCATCAGTCACAAAAGCGTTCAATCGGGCACTTCGCAAGTGTTCTTCATAAACAACTGAAAAATATTTATCGATCTTCTTTGCAAAAAACTTAGTAAAACAACAAAACATGGGCCACATAAAACAATGTGCTCATACCAATAAGACTACCTACTTCGAAAACAATTTAGGACAACAATTTAACTTTGTGTCTGAAGACAAAACACCCTTTTCAGCAAGAATAAGACAAATAAAACCTATCCCATCAAACCCAAGAAGCAAGTCCGATAGAACACTGCCCATCTTAGCAATTAACCTGAACAAACAATTTTAAGGCAAAGTTTCAGCGTTTCTCAGAGAAATATGCTCAAAAGACAGGGGGGCAATCATAAGAACAAAATGTCCAGGCTGCTTTAGTTGGTAGTCTATCATAAGTCCCACCTGATTGGCCAAGGTCTGTGTATGCTGAACAACAGCAGTAACAACAGCATTGGGCCATTCAGATCAGAGGGGAAATGTAAACTACAACCACAAAACACCAACGTTCCAGTCTTTCCCTTCTGAGAACCAACATTTTCAAAGCAGCCAATAACAGTCCAAAGTTTGTATAAACGCTCTCAGTGAATTTATGTAAACTGGTAAGCCTTCTTGTCACAAGTCCCAAGCTTGTACAAACTGGCAGATTGTCATCTAAACCATATGTCAGACCGCCCAGTGGTAGACCATCAAGTATACCAGAAAATATTACAGTAAAATACATCAAGTATACCAGAAAAAATTGCGGTAGACCGTCCTACTAAACCATCACCCAATCTCCTTCCCCGAGAGTCCTTTCAAAGCAAGCAATGTGCTATATGCATACTCACATTCATTTGATGTAGAACTCTTTTCGGGTTGGCTGCAAGGTACAGTTTTGCCATCCACTGCTTGCAGTCCGGATCAGCATCAAAACAAATGGATCCAGTCTTCCATTGAATAGTATTAGTCATCCCAACGGTCCTCACTTGGCCAGTGAAGGTGGCTTTGGTATCCATTGCCATTGTTGTCAACTGACAATGTCCTAACACTAACGACTTAACAGGAAGAAAGTAGCTGTCCCGCCCAGTAAGCAATTTTAAAGTGACTTGAGTCTTTTATTTGGAACAGTAAAAAGAAAAGATTTCCATTTCAGAAAATACTCAACATTCCAGAGGAATCCTATTCATCTGCAGCATGACTACATTTGAGAAAACAATCACCTTTCAGACCTGACGACCAAAAAGAAAGAATAAAAACATGTTAACAAGTGGGACACCACATAATGTTGGAGGACATTGCGCTGGAGACTAAATTCATCAAATGTCTCTTTACAACCCCTTTCTGTGACAGACTTTTCACCCCAGAGCCAGAGTCATCAATGGTAATTTTTCAAGGGACGTTCAGAATCATGTAATTCAACTCTGCTTATATTCCTAAAAGAAGGTGGATGTGATGCTCTACTACATGATATCATATCAAAAAAACTCTTATATTTATATATATATATATATAAAAATACAATTTCTCAAAATAAAATTATACACAAAATACAAAGTCAGGCATCGATAACTCAAACACATTGGGGATGACAAATGTGTTTGACACCATGATTTGTTAAAACAACCCCTGATACAGATATTTACAAGAAATCCATTGCATACATTGTGATTGTGCGCACTCCTCTGAGGGAAGCTTTCAATATATTTGAAATTTTGTTCAGTGTAACAGTGCAGGCAGTATGTTCATCGATCTAGGCCTAAATCATGAGTAGAATTTTGCAGTCTGCTAGACTACACTCCCTCCCCCAACTCAATACCCGTCTCCATCACCTATGCCCTTCCCTGCATTGAAAAACTCCAGGTCATAACTGTTTTTACTCCAATGGCTTCTTCTGACCACACCTATCAAAAGGCTACTAGTGTATGCTTGAAACTGACCAGTACCGTGTGAAACAAAAAGTAGAGGGAGGGTGTGACAGTGTGATCTAGTGATTAGACCCTTGAGCTCACAACCCTAAAGTCGCTTTTTTATCCAATGTCATCAGGGGCCCAACATTATTTGTGTCCTTGGGAAAGGTACTACAAATTTTCCTTACTTAATTCAGGAGGGAATGGGTACCTGGCTATACTACAGTAAAAAAAACCCTGTCAGTTTGTCAAGAGTTTTAGCGCAAACTGTAGGAGGCAATCAATAGGGGCACAAAATTCTGTAGAACTTGTAATTTGATAAAAGCACTCTTCGGTAGACAAGGCGTCTCCTCTATATCCTTAGAGGTAAGACTACTATGACCGACTGGATGCGCTGCCATTCCTCCCTCTCCCGTGAATTTCTATTGAAACCCCACCATACCACAACTGGATACCAGTCATTTCTCATTTCGTCACACGGTCAATTCGTCACACCGGTGCAGTCAAGACGTCATAGTCATCTCATCACACCCTAAACCCACAAGGTTGAAGGGAGAGTCCTTTCGTCACACACTTGCAAACATCAAGCGCGCTTTGTCATGACAAACGCAAATCACAATTTTTGGGGGAGGGTTGGGTGGTGTGTGGAATGACGGGTGAGTCGTCGTGCCTTCCTGATCATCTACATCGTTGATTTTATAACTGGGTGATTATTTTTGTTGAGTTGTTTTATTGGTGGGAGGGTGCAGGTGCAGTTTTAGGCATATAAGGTACTTAAAAACAAGAGGGTAACGCCCAATGATTTAAGTGCTTGAATAGGTGATTTAGAATAAAGACTGCTGGCGATCTAGCAATAACAATTTTGGAGCCAAAGCGAAGGCATTTCATCACACAAAGAAATCTAGTTGGGGTGTTACGAGATGATCGTGCGACGAAATGACCGGTTTCCCCACAACTCAACCCCTGACTGACTAAGCATTTGAAAATATCAAGAAGTCCAAGACGGAGTAGAAATCCACATCTGAGGAGCCTGATGTGACCCATTTTGAATCAATAATCAGTCAGGCCAAACAGAGAGAACAAACCCAAGATTACAAGGGGATAGCTAGAGAACAACAACTAAACGCCATAGGCCGATATTTATAGTAACAGCCATCTTGTTTTATCTTGCAAGGGGGATGCCCGATCATCTGATCGTGATTCTTAGTGATGATTTTGCATAGCTCACGGTTTGCACTGGCAGTTTCCAAGCTTCCATCTTTGAGTCATTCCTACTGGATCCCCTAGTATACTGCTTCTGCACTTCACAGAATCCATTTGCAAACCTTGCAGTCTCGAATTAGTTCTACTCCATTTGCAGCTCAGCTTCCTACAGATGAGTCCAATCTCTTGTAAGTGCTCAATTTCTTGTGCTTACAAAATTTAAAAGAAACGATCCAGACCAAAACGGTTGACATTTGCACAGCATCGTTGAACTTTGTTTGAACTTGCTTTCATATTGATGCCTCTCGTAGTCTTCTTCTTCTTCTTCTCAGTTTACAAAGTGTTCAGCATCAGAATTAATCTGTGCAGAAGACTCTTTCCGGACGTATCGCCCATATATCGCAAGTCCACACCCCTTGCAGACATATCGCAGATATATCAGTTCTGACAGTGTGTCTCGGTATTGTTTCGTTTCAACACGATCTGTCATTTAAAATTACTTTTTATTGCTATTGAAAGACTCAGAAAGGATTTAGGAAACGAAAACATCTATATTCGCTTTGTCAAAACGTGGGTTTGGGAAAAACGAGTGAATTAGTTCTTGCAGTCTTGCATCAACAAAACGATGTAATCGGACTCGGTATACTTGGCCTGTATATGATAAGATAGGTATGCTGATTTGCTTTCACATGTTTGGTGGTCATGAATGTAATTTTTTCCGCCTAAATGTATTTTTCCCATCACCATCTCCATTTCTAACCCTTAAAAAGAATACTTAAGTTCAAAATTAACCCTTGTTTCATGTTGGGATGTATGCCTCACTCAATTTCCTTCAATTTGATATATCATATGTTACGTTTTGAGTGATGGTTATGCTTCTATTAAGTTATTTTGTACACCACCTGCATAGCCAAATCGAGCCACAAGTTAATTATGTCTAGACCTAAAAAACCCTACGTCCGGAAAAAGTTAATTTAAGGTGATCTTGAAGTTCTGTTTGTTTAAGTCCACCACCCATTTGTTTACATCCAGAGAAGAAATCCGAAAGTCTCGATGACCAAATAGGCAACACAAAGAACAGGGATGCAACCTAACTGCAAAACATCAGTATGGTAAAATTCAGGCCCTCCCCCTCCTCCATATAAAATTAGGTCAGGGGGGCAAGCCTGAAACCCCCCTACTCTTGACTCTTGGGGACCAAACCGGCGAATAATAATAATTAGGGGTGGAAACCGCCGAAAAAGGGCAATTACTTAAATTTTGATTTCGAAGTGACTATTTCTCCGAACGTTCGGGAAAATAAAGCTGAACTCTATTTCTCCAAACGGTTTCCGATCTCGAGATTTTTGGGGTTATTTGCGAGATTTAGGCGTCGTCCTTTCATTTTGCCATTCTGCGGGGACTGGGAAGAAGCATTTTTCGATTCAAATTCAATTTCTAGAACTAGAGATTTTTAATTGTCTGAATATTCAAATACTTCAGTCGTGGTTGGTGCAATGTACCTGGACACACTTCATTTGAAAATACTTCCAAAAGGTACTGCGAGAAAACAAGACTGCTCGACCTTGGCAGTAACCTATTTTGCATTTAGTCACCAGGCAAATTGTAAAACAAAATCATTCCACCCCCCACTCCCCCATCCGATCACACCAAACACACACACGAGCCACTCCATTCGCTTTTATTATCAACAAATCTCGAAAACGGAAACCGTTCGGAGAAATAGAGTTCAAGTTTATTTTCCCAAACATTCGGAGAAATAGACCCGTCTTTTTTATTTTCTCCTCAGTGATTACCTGGCAATTCAGGGTCTCTGGCGTTCAACTTTGGACTTCAACGAACGAAACAACAAAATCGCCAATTTAGCTTCTAGCCTAGCTTGCCTAGGACAGGCCTTAGCCTTACAACAGTTACTTTTTGCGGATTGACTTTACTTTAGCTTAGACTTCTCTAGAATCTAGAACTATCTAAATCTAGATCTATATAGATCTATCTAGGCTACATCTAGCCTAGATCTAAATTAGACCTAGATCTATCTAATTTGACTTAAATAACAAGGAGAAAAAGGAGAGGGGCGCACCTTTTCTTGAAAGAGTATGGGAATGGTCTTGACATCTCACTTTGGGGTAGGACAATTTGGTGTCTGTTTGGTTATAAAGTCTTTATAAGTCATATTTAACTTTAACGGAGTGTCTACGTACACGGTAACCGGGCTCCTACCCTCAGTGTCTACGTACAGTCTAACTGGCAACGGGGCACGTAATCTCAGTGTCATGTACACCGTAACCGGGCATGTAGCCTCAATATCTATATACGGTAACCGGCTACCGGGCATGTAGTATCAGAGTCACCAGAGAATATATTATAATTAAATACTCTCTGGTGTCACGTACACGGTAACCGGACAGTTCAGAACTCCAAGTTTAGTTTCTGTCATCCAGAGTTGCCTTCATCCCTACCCCTTCCCCGACTGTATGGTTTTTTTTAATCAATAATTCTCCCCCCCCCCCTTCCCCCACATTCCGGAGCCCTATACTTCGCAGCGCACAGACTTTGAATGAACTTTGGTGACCCCAACCGGTACTCACAATGTGATGCACACGCACAGGTTCACTGACCTGTCAGGATGGCGAGCCCGGCAAGACGCTCATGACTTTCTTTTTTTTTTCAGGAAGTGACAGCACAGGACAAATATTGATTTATTTTCATTCCGGTTACCGTGTACGTAGATACAAAGACTAGAGTAGGTGAGACCAAAGATAGTACAAAACAAGATGGTCCACTCAGCCAAAAAAGTGTCCGCCGGAAGTCTGCTTTTTGCTTTCGTTTTTCCAGAAAAGAAGAATAGGAATAGCCTTCCTTGCGTGCGCAGACCGACTGCTGTTCATCAGCAGTTGGGGTTCGTTAGGGTTTTTTAAATCTTAATGACCTCTCGCCTTTCATTCTCAAGTCAAATTAAACGAAGAAAACAATCACCCCTTCCTCCGGAAAAGGTTTTTTTGTCAGCATAACCATTTTAAAAAGGAAGTGGCTATTCTCACCTGGGGTGAGAATAGAAATACGATCGACCTCTCACCTCGGATGAGACTTGCCACCGTAGGCTATTCTCACCCGGTGTGAAACAAGACCTGTTTTTCCTAATTTCGGAATACTTTCTATCGATGTGGATGATCAAATGGATAAAGGCAAAGAAAAGATTACGTTATAGCACAAAAGAAAGCTAATTTTATCTACTTCAAAGATGCTATGGGGCTATTTCACTTTTCGAATCGAGCCGAACTACGGGGGTCACCATTTTGTTTTGCCCGGAAGTTCTCACGAGATCTACTCCTCCCCTCTTCTCTCTCTCTGTCTCTTTCTGAATACTGTCTATCGGTGTGGACAATTAAATTGACCAAAACAAAGTTTTAAAATGATGTTAAGTTAAAACACAAAAGTAAATTAATTTGATTGTCTACAAAGATGCTACGGCTATTTAACTTTTCGAATCGAGCCGAACTACGCGGATCGCCATTTTGTTTTGCGCGGAAGTTCTCGCGCTACTCCTCTCTCTCTCTCTCCACTGCCCACAGACAAAATTGTACGCTTTTAGTAGGCTAACAGTAGTAATGGAACGTTTGTTCACGGCACAGAATTCTACAATTTTTCTGTTATCACAGTGTAGAATTCTGTGGTTTAGGGTGAACGTTCCACGCAAAATTGGTTGGCCTAGATCTAGGCTATGACGGTGAACGCGCACCGGGTGAGAATAGCCAAAAGACTCGCCTGCACTATTCTCACCCGGGGTGAGAATAGAGGTGGCCTTTTAAAAAAGCGTTCTTCCGAAATTTATTAAAAAACATGATAGTTCCACTTTGATTTTTTTAACACAAGTAGGGTAACTCTGTTCGCAAAGGGTGCGCATTTGCGAAGAGGGCGCCACCGAATTTTGAGGACACTTTTTTAATTGGGAGTGTATACAGACCCGGTAACCGGGAATAAAGTCACAAAGTATACAGACCCGGTATGGGAACTCTTTCGTGATTTCGGAAAGTTTCAGCGCTCTCTTGGCTCAGGATAGAACTAGGTTCTTCTAGATCTATGGCCTAGGTCTAGATCTAGACTGACAGATAAATCATTGATCTAGTTTCGAGGCTAGCCTAGATCTAGATCTAGATCTAAATCTAAATGAAGATTGCGGATGTCTTTTCGATGAACGATCGTTTTTCCTCCGTTTTGGAGTTGGAGGAATCACAATTTGAAGAAAAGAACAATGTCATAATTTCAATCGAGCAGTCACCCTCTCTATTTCTCTCTCTCTCTCCTCTGTCGTTGTGTATCGCTCGCATTCTCTTTTTCTTTGTTTGTCTGCTCTGTCTTTCTTTCTCCCCACCTATTTCCCACTATATCTTTCTCTCGTTCCCTCCTGCCAACTGGGGCATACATTTTGCTAGCACTTCCCCCTGCTCTCTCTCTCTCTCTCTCACACACACACACACATACACACACACACTACTGGGTCTGGGCGCTGAAACTTTCCAAAATCACATAAGAGTTCCCCTACCGGGTCTGTATACTTCGTGACTTTGTTCCCGGTTACCGGGTCTGTATACACTTCGTTTTTAATTTGCTCAAAGAGAGGAGTGGCCCCTCTTCTTGTTATAAAATACATGACATATAGATCTAGACTCTTTGGTGAGATTAAGTGCCCGGTTACCGTGTACGTAGATACTGAGACAAGGTGCCCGGTTACCGTGTACGTAGACACTCCGTAACTTTAATCTTAATCATTCTTTTCCAGTGTCTTTATATCTTCTGCTGCTGCAGGCTCCAGTTACCACACCCTCCCATAGCAGTTAGCCTTCTACTTCTAGCCCAGATAGATCTAGATTCTAGACCTACCGGTCCTACCTCTGAATAAATCTAATATCTAGATCTAAATCTAGAATTCTAGATCTATATCTAGAATCTAGATCTAGAATCTAAAATCTATATACTAGATCTAGATCTAGAAAATCTAGTCTAAACAATAACAGTGACAGTTCAGTGGCTGCAGTAGTGAAGTCCCCAGAATTTTGGAAGAATTGATAGAATAGATATATCTAGATATCTAGATTAGATCTTGATAATAAAGAAACTATAATGTGAAATGCCAACAGAGCACACTTTGTGGGCAATAATTGCCATACACTGAGTCTGAAGACATTACTCACGGGCATGATCCATCCATACATTTAATCTTTCTCTCTCTCTCTGCTCGATACTCTCTCACTTGATACTTTAGATCTACTACTTTCTACCACAACACATAGCGCGGGGTATTTATTCCGGAAGTTGAGTCTTTCTTCCCATCAAGTGTAAACACGAAAATTAATTGTAAAAAAAGATTTGTTACAGCAGGCCTGATATTGATTTATTAGTCTAGAAAGAACAAGAGAAAGTAATTGTATAGCTTTCAAAGTTGCATCTTTGGAACTAAAAGGACAGTTAAGTCATATAAGTTAGAAAAGTTTTTATTTTTAATCTGTGGAAACTCAACTTGGCAAACCAAGATGGTCTTCCCGGAAATGACCTATGACTTTTGTTGTTAATAGACTTCCGTTGACGGCCGGCCGCAGCTCTGAAAGAAGAATGGAAGTGCATTACACCGTGAGAGAAAACTGTGATTCTTTTTCTTTGACTCTTCAATAAGGGATTATAATAATTATATCGAAGCTGCAGGAAAAGGTAATAAGATTTTGCATTGCATAGGTGAATGGCTTTACTCAACTATTTTGAGGAACAGGAGCTCTGTGAACATCTAGAGATTTAGTTTCAGTGCAGAGCCGATGTGATGACAACCATCATGACTTGATTGATGAACAAAAAAACAGTATTTGAACTGATCGACTCTGGGATGATTATGAGCTCTTGTCTGATGCAGTTTTTTTCCAGGAAAGGTGAAACATGAAGTAATGATTATTGTGGGTCAGATCTAGATCTAGATCTATATTCCCACTGGGTAGGCCTACAACAATCAGAAGAATTCGACTGACTTGATGTTCACTACTACACACACTGACACCCTGAGAATTCCTAGATTCTAGCTACTGAGAACTCGTCAGTTTCAACTGAATTGAAACTGAAGGCATCATGCTTAACATGATAAGAAGGCTAAAGTGAAACTTTTAAATTAAAGGGAGGACTTCCGTAATGAGCGACCAGTGTGAGCCAGGGTAGAGGGGTAGGGACAGGGTTACACAAGCCACGGATAGTTACAGAACAATACTAAAGTTAAACGCCATTGTCCGATGCCGATATTTAGCCTCTATAGATACTCCTATACCTATACATCTAAAATCTAGATTAGATCTAGTAACAGCCATCTTGTTTGACGTCATTGAGGGATTCCCACTCTGTCAGTCATGGTGGAAACACGACCACACAACGGCGGCCTGCCGACTCGGATTATTGTCTTTGCCTTTGCAACTTGCAGAACTGTTCGGTACGGTTGTCACTGATTATTTAGCACGCTTCTTCCGGCCAGATTGATTCTGAGGCTGTACACTACGTAAACTGAGAAGAAGAAGAAGACTAAGACTACTAAGAGTAGGCCTAGATCTACATACGAAAGCAAGAACAGTTCAAAGTTCAACAACGCAGTGCAAATGATCGATGGTTTCGATCGGATCGTTTCTTTTAAAGTTTTGTAAACACAAGACATTGAGCACTTGCAAGAGATTGGACTCCATAGAAGACTGCAAGGTTTGCAAATGGATACTGTGGTGAGGTACAAAACAGTATACACTACGGGGAACCAAAAGGAAAGACTCACTCAAAGAGGGAAGCTTGGAAAGTACCAGTGCAAACCGCGCGCTACCCAAAACCATCCCTAAGAATCACGATCAGATGAGACGGCGGGCATTCCCCCTTGCGAAGTCAAAAAAGATGGCTGTTACTATAAATATCGGCGTTTAGTTGTCGTTCTCTAGGTATCAACTTGTGACAGGGTTTGGGTAGGGTTTAGGGTTAAATATAAAGGTCTCTTCTTTATTGATTTGTTGGGACTCGTTACGGAAGTCTTTCCCTTTTAAGTTAAAATCAGTAAAATTTTAAATACGAAGTGTATACAGACCCGGTAACCGGGAACAAAGTCACGAAGTATACAGACCCGGTAGTGTGTGTGTGTGTGTGTGACACACTGTGAGAAAGAGAGAGAGAGCAGGGGGAAGTGATAGCGAAATGTATGACATGCCCCAGTTGGCAGGAGGGAACAAGAGAAAGATATTGGGAAATGGGTGGGGAGAAAGAAAGATAGAGACAAACAAAGAAAAAGAAAATGCGAGCGACAGAGAGAGAAAGAGATAGAGAGGATGACTGCTCGAGAGAAATTATGACATTGTTCTTTTCTTCAAATTGTGATTCCTCCAACTCCAAAACGGAGGAAAAACTATCGTTCATCGAAAAGACATCCGCAATCTTCATTTAGATCTAGATCTAGGCTAGCCTCGAAACTAGATCAATGATTTTGTCTGTCTGTCTAGATCTAGACCTAGCCTAGGCCATAGATCTAGAAGAACCTAGGTCTACTCTGAGCCAAGAGGGCGTTGAAACTTTCCGAAATCACAAAAGAGTTCCCCTACCGGGTCTGTATTCTTCGTGACTTTGTTCCCGGTTACCGGGTCTGTATACGCTCCCTTTAAAATATTGTGTAAGACTCTGAGACATGACTGTCCTCTATAGCATGTCCACTTCTGGGTTGCTCTCCGTGTTGTGTTCTTTTTTATTTTTGGCCACCTCCGGGTGAGAATGGCGCAATTAAAGGCCTCTCACCCCGGGTGAGAAGGCGAGCCTTTTGGCTATTCTCACCCGGTATGCGTTCACCGCGATACCAGTGTAAACAAACGTTCACGTGCTCTTGAGTTGAAAGTTAGACCTGCATGTTTGCCTACAATCGTCTGAAATCTGACAATCGTGAGCCGGCCGATGCTATCGCTAGGCCCACCTGTATCAGTCAATGTACGAAGTGCGAGGCCTGGCCGACTGTCGGCGTTTCCGACATAATTGTCGGAACCTTAGTAGAAATAGGAATACAAAAAAGGGCGGCTTAAATTATCTACTCTCTGTTTCGTGCTCGAGTGGCCATTTTGAATTTCGTTTTTTGACTGATTGTTCAGATCATGTAGATTTATTCAAGTCCAACTCACTTGTTCGACTAGATCTAGATTTATATAGATCTCAATGGAGGATTCATATTCCAATTCTATTGTGGCAAACCCTATATTATAGGTTGTGCTATAATATTAATAAAGTGACTATTTCTCCGAACGGTTTCTGATCTCGAGATTTTTTTGGTTTTTTGCGAGATTTAGGCGTCATCTTTCATTCTGCCATTCTGCGAGGACTGGGAAGAAGCATTTTTTGCATCAAATTCAATTTTTAGAGCTAGAGACTAGAGATTTTTGAATGTCTGAATATTCAGATACTTCAGTTGTGGTTGGGGCAACATTTCCGGACTATACTTCATTTGAAAATACCTCTTCAAAAGGTACAGCGAGAAAGCAAGACTGCTCTCGACCTTGGCAGTAACCTATTTTGCATTTAGTCACCAAGCAAAAACTAATATCCTTCAGGGCTCCCCTTTTCAGACCAACTTAAGATGTTTCTTCACCCTTTGGTTTTCTATCTTAAGGGGTATTTAAACCCTTGTTTTAGAAACTTAAAGGCTAAAAGTCAATTATCTCCTAATTTTATAGTAAGAATTTTTTGCATCATGTAAACATTTAACTCACGCACATTCACACAGACACACATATAGTGACCATTACTATGATTGAATGCTAACAATTTTGTAATTAACTTAAGGTTTCTTAGTAACAGCAAGAAATAAATGAATAATATTGACTACAATTAGAGTTGTGTCCATTTTGGAGGGGAGAAGGGTGGTGGTCGAGCCAATCAAAAATAAAATAAAGTTGACAAACCAAAGGGGTCAATTCCAACTGTAATGCGCAAAGAAAATCAGACTTGCCAATCAATGAAATCTAAAAGTCAGCTTTTTCTTTCCTAATCCTTATTATCGTCATTTCCTCTACTTCATTATGTTTGTCACACTCTTGTGACCCGCTATTTCCGGGGTGCCTTTATAGTCAAAGCAGACTTTGTGCTGTTGAAGCTAAAGAGGAGAGCAGAGTAAGTCTGATTCCCTGTTAGGACTTCTCTGTTGACATCCACCCCTTGGCGCTCATATGACTTTATGCAGTTGAGAGCGCCGTAAAACCTCTACTAAAACTAAAAAAACTAAAAGTTGGGATCTCAGGGGTGGACAAATCACTAAGGTCACTTCCAAACTGACTTAAAAACCATTTCCAGGGGTGTGTGTGTGTCACGGCGTCACTTTTCGCCCGATTCTGTTACTTTTAGTTCGCACGACTCAGCAGCCCGCCGGAGCTCCCCGGCTCGGGGTCACGGGGTTAATGAGCCCTGAGGCGACTTTGCCGGTGTCGGTCGGGAAGTTTGCATTTTTGACTATGTTTAAAACGATATAACTTCTTCCCCATCCCACACAGCAAACCATTACGCGAATGTACTAAAAGCTCAATGTCTTGAGATTTATTCTGCGTTAGAATGGTTAGTTTTTGTTCTAGACAAGTGTTTGTAGAGTACCCAATTTGTCCTATTTTAGTTACAAAGTTATGAATAAATGATTGTTATTTTTAAAAAGGCACGACAGATCTCTCCAAATTCTGTGTTAAACTGACTACGAATATCATGTCTTTTACCATGAGAAATCTTAAATCTGCGGTAGTAGTAATAGTCAAGTTATAAGAGAAGAAAGATGTACATCTGCATATTTTAACTAAAGACGATCAGCATTGGCTCTTATTTTACTATTAAACAAGAGAAAGTTACTCTGCGTTTGTTCATGAATCATGCTGTGTCTGTGGCAGCCTGCATACAACTAAAAAGATACAATATAAGCGATTTTAAAAAACCACAAAACCGTGTAAATACATGGGTAGAGATAAACTTCTAGTATGGAATAAAAATAATGACAGCTAAAACATTCATTCTTAGTTTTTGTTTATATGCGCGCGGACACAATTATGAATGTAAAGAAATCAGTCACATTGTCAGTTATTGCAAATGGTCATAGAAACGTTTAAAAAGCTGGAAAAGTCTGGTGCTGATTCAGTGTCCCTGGAAAGCTAGAAATTATTCTTATAACCCAATTACGAGAAGTCATCCCTATTATTCAGTCAACTTACAAAACCTAGACTTAGCGTTTTAAGAAAAGTAAGCAATTTCTGGAGTGTAACAGATACTGTTCGTGTATTAGATCTACGTTGAAGATATATTCTAGCACTAAAATCGATTTGTACTTTTCATTGAGAAACTTCATGATAACTTTTATAAACTTTCGAGAAAATATGCGAATATTCATGATTATATTAGACACATAAAGTTGTATTTGGGGGAATTACTGCCTAGCGAATTGTGTGCCCGATGGATAAAATTGCAAAAGTACAGCCTTCTATTATAAGCGCAGATACCATCTTTTCTGAGTATCTGCACTAATGTTATGTCGTTCATATTCCAAAAGTTCGACAGATTTTGACGATGCGGTTTTTTTTTATATTGATTTTTTTTCATTCACGCTAGTCCCAAAAAAAATTACAATTTAGCATTGCCGACTCCAGCGCGTCTAACGAAATAACCAGACAAGTTACAACGTCCGTTCTTTTTTG